CTCTATAGGGGGAGGCCGTTTCTTTTTCCGCCATCGTCTAGCTGGGTAACTGTAGATGAAATGTGGCGTCTGTCCTGGCTGACGTTCAAGTTTACTGATCCATAGATGGCAGTTGTTCATGGCAATACCTGTTTGCGCATCGATAAAAGGAATGCGAAGACGGCGCTCGTAACGGAGTCTGGAGTTGTAAGCGGATACGTTCTCTAAAGCCTCTTTGTACATTTCTCTACAGAAAAAATAACCACGGTTCAGCCTCGAATTCGTCGTCAAGTTTAAGTATACTATTTTTTCGACAAAAAATGAAAATAGGCACTCTAAATGAAGAAATGAGATACGAACTGGGGATCTTTAGGTTCACGAGAAATCACTCCGCGAGTCGCCATATTGTTCTCTTCGGTAATTGTTAACAATGTAACCTGGCTAAACCTTGGCTGACAGCTTAGGTAACCTGGCAAATCACCTCGTTCGTCTTGCGGAACTCCTTGAAGAAGTAAGGACATGGTTGACTAACGACGCTAATCGCTTAGTACAAGAGAACTTATGTTCCCTTGCTTAGTATCGACTCTGTAATACCGAATTGAGCCCAGATTTCAAAAATTTACTCTTTGGCCGAAACTTTTTGTAGTATATGCTTCATGGAAACAGACCCATAGTGCCATAGTGCTTTATGTAATCTGATTTGATTCCAAAAACTATGAAAGCCCTTTCTTCTATCGCGACTCCTGAAATGAAAACACATTTCGTTGGCCGTAGAAAAAAAATTTTGTGACGACAATGAAATGACATCAACCGTTAGCCGTAAAATAGCCAAAATTTTCACTATTAGCCGTAAAAGCCAACACCGGTACCTTACTGAGACCCTCTATCTATGGTTGTAATTTTGTTTAGATGAAACTCTTAACTGCTACATTCAATACCAAAAACAAACAAAAAAAAAATACGAGAAATGAACTGTAGAAGATCTTTGCTTTTGTTTTCGTAAAACAATTCATCTAAGTGTTTTATTCAGAAAAGCTGTATGTGTCAATAATAAATTGACTTTAAGTCAAAAAGCCCGAGTCTTGCCAATGTGCAGCGTTAAAATCAGGCGCGGAACATGAAACATGAACACGAGACACGAGACACGACAATTATGCTTTGTGTAGCCGATATCTATACGTCATAAAATATTCATTAACTCTTATAGTTTCTTTCTCCAGTTAATGGTAGAGCTTGGCAAAATTAAGTGAAGTGACTGTAAGCTGAATAATTATGTCGAACACTAACACAGTTATTCTAACAAGAAGTGATTTCTGTTGCATCCAAGTAGAAAGGAAGTTTTTACAAATTATTACCCGAGACAAATATATAGATCTGTTGTTTCCTTTGTTATTCCACTCATGGTAAATATTATTTCTTTATCATTCCACAATTACGCTATTTTGCCATCTTAGGGCAGTGAAACATGCAAAATACGTCATGGTATTACTCTGTAGAGCAGGGAAAAATACAGAGCGACAAAATGTTTTTTTTTTTTTTTTTGGATTTTAAAAGGCTTCGTCTTATAAGCAACAAACTAGTTAAGCGCTTCAGATATTTTTCTTGGCCGAAATAAGTATTGAATGGACTCGTTAGTTGTTTTCGTCTTTCACGCATGCCTTATGCAATCGCTACCACGCTCAGAGGGAGCCTTCTAGGATGTATTTCGAGAACTATAAGCCAAAATACTAAAAATTGAAATAATGATGGAATAATAACTCCCCTATTGAATGGTTCAACATCTAATTCATGGGAACATTTTTCTCATTTCTGGAATCCTTCTTCGCCCCCACAGGGCTTAGGAAAATGCCACGCAACTCGTATATGGGTACTTATTTCACTGCTAAAAACACATGCCGACAAAACAGAAGCTAACGAATGACAGTCGTACTAATTATAATGGATTTTGTGGTATTGTACCTAATAAATAACAGTGGCTTTAGTTACTTATGATGCACGACTCTCGCAGTAGATAGCGCTATTTATGCAATAGCGAAAATCAGACCTGAAAAAAATCAGGCC